CATGAGAAAATTTACATACTCGAAACACTTTCGCAGCTGGAGTATTTAACTCTGCGCAGCATTTCTGCCATTAAAGTGTTAAGTGCAGAAAAATCTTTAAATGCGTCGACCAAGTTAACTCCTCTCAAGTACAAACATTCTAATCTGCATTTTGCAATTCCTTACTTGGGAAAATGTTCATCTTAGTACGAAGTTCTGCCTTCTCTGCCTCCTGTGCTTCGTGCAAGGAATCTCACATTCTGCCATGAAGCCACATTGAATGCGCATATATTTTCATAAAATCTTTTATCACAAAAGATAACGAAATAGTTTTATGCACTTTTCTGTAAACTTTTCGAAAGAAATGAATTGAAAATTGGCGCGTGTATGCAAACATTTATATTCTCGAAGATTGGAAACATACGCTGCACACAAAGGCACATCCGCTTATCTTGCAGCGACTCTCCCACCAAACCCAAACCCAATAAGACGAAATATTGATTTTCTTGGAGCATATGAGCTCCACATGAAAGTCCGTCTGTGTGTGCTCGAATATGGAATAGTGTTCCGAATTTTCATGATTGTGCACTTTAAAACGTTATTATTTCGGTTGCAGCACTCTGCGATATTACTTTATACAAATATTATACAAATTTTAAGGTTGTGTGCAAAAGAAAAAGAACAGAGAAAATCAGTTTGCATTGCAAAGCTTTTTCAATTTCAATTGCACTTATGAAGACTAAGTTTTTCCACTAATATTTTTTAAGATTTACTTCGGAAAGTTCAAACTGAGATTTAAGTAGAATGAAACAAATTAATGAAGAGAGAAGGAAATCGGTTAAAATAGCATGCATACGTATGTGGATAGATATATTGGTAGATAAGTGAAGTGGAAAGAGGATGAGTCCTATTTGCTTTATGTGATTACATACCACAAGAGTTTAACCCCACTCAATACACGTATCAAGATTATGTAAAGACAAATCCCCCATTGAAAAAAATTCGACAGGTACCAATTAAAGTGATATATTTGAATATAACCTCTTTTTTGTTGAGAGGCAAGGCTCATCTAACTCCAAGAAACAGCGAGATCATTTGCTGCATAAATGCGAACAGTCTTCATATATAACTTAAGGTATTAACCACATATACAACAAAACCCAGTGTTCAGGACAATCGAAGCTGTGAGCAACTGAATCCAATTTTGCCAGATTACAACTCTGGTATGATGTTGTAAGTGATAACCCACTTGCACCAATTACACTCAAAAAAAGGTGGTCCATAATAAACTCTTGTCACCTTTTAAGGCACACATGTCTTTCTTCGGCAGTTTTCTAACCGCTATTTCGAAGTGAAAAACAGAAGGCTAATTAAATTTTTCACAATTAGTTAGGATTTCATATTTTTCGTAATTTTTAGAATAATTGAATATTAATGACAAAAAGTATTTGGGTAATTTTTGTATTGGATATATTGTTAAATGAACGCAAGAAGAAACATAACGTGCCCATAGGCTAGAGCTTATGTTAGATTTGTATAAGTCTGTATAGCCACACAACAGATGTTCTGATTTATCTTACTTTTGCTTCTGTAAATGATCACCAAGAGATATCACGTGTATAATATGCCGTGTGAACCTAGACATTCTCAAATTATTCCGCCAGAGGTTCTATATTTGGAGTTTGTAGGTCATATCACCTTTGACCTGGCTTCAATTCCTGTTAACTTGCCGCAAAAAGTGGTGATACGTCAATCTTCGTCTATGACTGGGAGGATTACGACGTCTTATAGACACAGTTTTCAATCAAAAAGGCACCAAACCTCTCTATATAGTTTGCATTTTAGGATAGATTTAAATATACTACCACTGCTTCGACTCCCGCTTATCATGGTAAAACTATCTTATTCGTTTCGTTTTAACTGAGTAGAGTATAGAGATATTTTCATCAGTTGTAAATTACAACACTAAAATTTTGTTGTTGAGATTCATTCGTATGTGACATTAAAATTTAATAATTAAAATAAATATAATTACTTAGTTCAATTAGACTATAGCTGGTTTATTATTTCGTTCTAATATAAAACAGCATGTGAATTTATTAAAAAAATTTAACAGCAAATTGACAAAACTCAAAGTTAGAACAATAACGGCTTCAATCAAGTACGGCTTTGGGTCAGTTTGATAATTAACACAACTGTGAGCTTCAAGTTTGGAAGACACGAGTTCAATCCTTGATACTTGCAGTCTTGAAAAATTATTTACGAATAATTAAATACAAGAAATATTTTCAAAAAACCACTGATGATGGATCATGACCGCAATACTCGAAACAGCTGAGGGGTCACTTTGAAATTCAATTAATAAATAATTAAAACTCTGTCGTTGTAATTCATTACTGTTCAATATACCTCTTTATTAAAACAACAGTTTCTATTGAGACACATGTTTTTTTTCGTCATAATTGACTTCAAAAATTCAATTGGTGACTATAGATTATAGTCACGTTATTGGTTTGTCATGTCATTATTATATTAGTGATACTTTCATTAAATATTAACTTAAAATTAACTCATTCTATAATTTTGGTCTTGATATATTAAAGATTTGATTTGACTTATTTTTATTAATAAAAATTATTACTTTTCTTATTCAATTTAATATCTGTAATGTATCTATCTGTCATGCCAACATTTACTGATTCAACTAAGAATTCATCTTAAAGTAGTGTGCAATTTTGAAATCATCATCAATTTGCGTAATTTAACAATTTTACAGTTTTGAGTTCAAAGCACGTATCTTGCAATGGCACAAAATATGTCATTCTAGTGTTCTTCCTAATAGTAGCCGTTGTTGTAGTTGTCCTTGTCATTGCCAATGTTGTTGTAGAGAAGCTCAAAAGTGTTGATGAATGAGTTGAATGAGCTGAATATGAATTGACATTTCGACATGGTTGCATTTTGAGTAGTTAAATCAGTTGTAAATACGTTTGGAATTATAAAAAATGTCAAACTGTTTACATTGACATTTTGATTTGGCTTCCTCCGACTAGAGAGCAGTTAAAGTAATTTGGTGAGATTATCCTATGTGACAGAGTCTTAGTATATACACAGAAAGAAAACGTTTTCAGAAAAATAATCATTTGCTAAATTTAAACTATTTAAATATTAAAAAAATGAAAAATGATGGCTATTGTCAGCTTAAAATACATAACATATTTCCAACTAATAGTACTGTGAAGCAGTTTATTCTAATTGCACCAAAACCCATAAGATCTTAATTTTGTACTATGAGGGTAGTCTTAAGGACCCTTTTTATAGAGTAAAGTATTATAAAATTTATTTAATAAAATTTTCACTGCCCTCAAGTATTTTTAATTTTCCTCGTGCGTACATATGTGTGGCACATATATGGGCTTACCTCTGCTTAGTGTAATACATATGATTAAAATAATATTCTTGCCATTATTAAAGTTTTCATACTTTCAGCGCGTTACACATCAACTTCAATTTCGAAATGGGTTAAATGTAACTTTAGCTGCTTTTAATAGAAGCACGTATCCTGCATAAATGTGCACATCTTCAGCACCATTTAAATCAGCGCGCGAAAGCAATTTTACGCCAACTTACTCTATTCAACTTTTTGCAAGCAACAATTTTTCTTAATGTGAATATGGCAATGTACTAAAACTCACTAGTACAGTACCACTAAAAGAAGAACTTATAGTGGTACCGAGAGCGAAGCAGAAGACTCATAACTTTTCCGCGTTACAAAATGTATGATTGCGTTGAGTAGCAGCAGAAGCAGGAGAAGCAGGAGAAGCAGCAGTTGCACGAATAGTAAAAGCAACGCATTGGAGGAACACACATGAATTGTAGCAGAAAATGGTTTCAACTTTATAAATATAAATTTGTACCTGAGTTTTTTCCTGCAACTTCTTGTGTTCCGAGGACGAAAAGTATTTCTTTACATACCCTACAACAAATGTTGCAAATTCTTATTGCAAATTGCTCAACCATATCACGTGCAACATAATTTTTTCCATGTGAGTTGTAAAGCGAAATTTTTAAATTGCGAAATATCTGCAGATATAAATGCATTTGGTGAAGATGGATCACACAACGCAACATAGCTAAGCGGCAAATACAGCGACATATCTTCAACAGAGCGGGAAAGTAGGAAGTGCTCAGGCAAACGGAAATGAAAAATGCGTTAAGATGCTGAACGGCACTACGGATATCGCTTGTTAAGTTGTAATGAAATTAACACTCAAGCCTGGTGTTGATGTGACTGCTTTCAAATTTTCCAAACGAGACAGTTTTCAGTGTTGGATAAAAATATTTCCCCACTGATATATATGAGTGCTTCACACCTCTAAAATAATATGTCACATTGTCAAATAATAAAATAATGTGATGAGAGAAAATTTATGTATGAATAGGTTTTTTTGATAATTTATTCTCAACGTAAATAAAATTATTTACTTGACGGTCTTAAATCCAAACAACTAATGAGTAAGCAGTAACAGCGATTAGTATTGAATTTCCATTTCTTGACATGTGGGTCTTTATTTTACAAATAAAATTTGAGATAAAAATCGTCTCCGATTTAGTCAAATTTTTTTTATAAACATAGTTTTTATAACAAAAATAACCATATCTGAGTAGAAAATTTGAAAACTTTTTTCCTAGGACAGGGGCCCTTTATGGTTTAGAAATTTTTGTCCAGTGCAATTTGTAAATTGCCATATCTGTCAATGACAAAGACTTCAATTTTTTTGCGTTGAAATAATAATTGATTAAATATTTACAATTTATATACAAACATTAAACATTAATTTAAAAACAATAGTTAAAATATACATAAAAATCTTTATTTTTGTTCTTAGTTTAGATATGTCATAAAATTTTATTTAAAAACTAAAATTTTCCCTAAAGACATTATTCTCATAAGAATTATACTCATAAGAACACTTATATATTACTTATTAACACTGTTAATTTTTTATTTTTATTTTGCAACACTGAATCCGAATGGTAGAAATGTTCACAACCTACGAAATAGTGTAGGCAGCATTTTTAATAAAACAATAAATCTCGTCTTTCCAAATATTTTCCATTCTTTCGTAAAATAAAAGTGAAACTATATTGTAGAAAATGGATAATTGGGATTCCGAATCTGGTTCTAGCGAAACATCTCAATTCGAACTGGATTTTGTTGATTTGTGTAGTAACGCTTACAGTAACAAAAATAATGAGGGCAAGACTGTTCGCTTCAATGTCGACTTATTTTCAAACGACAATTCCAACTATTCGATTTTCAATTATGTAGAACTGATGGCCTTTCAAGAAGTTATATAAAATTCTAGTTAATTTATTTGTAATCTATAAATTTTTTTCGATTTTAGAAGGAAGAAAGTAAATCAAAAGATGAATGCGCTTCAGACACATTTACCAGAGATGGCGCTGCACAAAAAGCTAATAAAGTAAATAAAAAAAAAACAAAAACAGATAACAAAAAAAATAAAACACAGAATCGTAATGACATAGGATTTGGGTACGATGCAAACGATTCGTTTATTGATAATTCGGAAAAATATGATGAGTTTGTACCAGAAGATCTTGATACATGTCATAGAGGTTTATATATCAATAAGGGTCTGCTGATATATAAAAAAGTAGGAACAATTTGTAATAAAACTAACGTTAAAGTTACGATTGATAGTGAGGTTAAATTATAAATACTAATTTTAATGATTTAAATAAACATTTCTTTACATTATAAATGGATATAGTTACAACTCATGAAGGTTAGGAGAAGTCAAAGACGGACTCAGTGTTCAGTTTCCAGATTTTGAATCTTCAATACCAGGTAATGCTATTGCAGGATGCAGTGAATAGTTTACAATTAAAAAGTGTTGTATTTGCAGCTCCAGCTACCGCAATGGATCTTACTAAGACCTTTACACAGAACCGCAAAGAAGTCATATTATCATAACAAGAAAGACTGAAAATTTAATGGTGCACATTTAATAAAAACATGAAATATAAAAGATTAATGTTATGCATAAAAGTTAATATGTTATATTAATGTTAATGTTAAATGTTGTTTAAAAAAAATATCATGAAGTTAATTAATGTCTAAAAATCATTAACGTCTATTTAAGCATGTACGCAACAGAAGCTATGTTTATATATCACAGATTATATATCCGTCCCCAGAATTCAGCAGATTTGGGTGAAATCATTATTGACATGAAAGAAAAGGCTTTACTACTATATTTATAGATACAGGACGCTGATGCGCTGAGTGGAAAGATATGAGTGAATGAATATTACGTTTTACGGATATAATGAAAGAGACGCCATTATGAACACGATTGGAAACAGTGACAATATAGTGGCTCATCAACAACAAATATCAATCCGCAATATTAATATATATAAAATATTTAGAAGGGTTTTCGAATATAAAATATTTATAAGTGACTAATATTTATGGGTGATTTTGATTAAAATACTTCTAAAATAGAAATGTCGTCACGCCGAGGCTTAATAGTAACTCGTTGGGCAAATTATGTATCTAGTAAATTTAATAAAATCCATATGTATTAAAAATAGATAAATTGTCTAAATAAATTGATTTTTATTGCTTTTTCAATAAGCACATTGTACAACGTAGCTACCTTTATCGACTATGTGACCAACATCATATAGAATAAATTCAATTATGACAAACAAACATTTAAGTCATTTGAATAATTTTATATTGACAACTTTCTAGAAGTACTTCGCCTAAGATATTATAATTGTAAGGTCTTAAGACTCAATTAATTGATACATAAGTGTTTACGACTTAAGTCAAAGCGACAAAAATTTTTATAAACTTTTGTATTTTTTTTAACAATCTATTTAATAACCTATCTTCATAATCATCACACCATAATTGCTACAAGTGTCTCTGGTCAATTCTGGTTTCGTGATATTCCAAGCAGGATTATTTTAGTTTTTTGTAACTAACATACTTGTGCTGCAAGGTAATTCGCACTCAGCTCTTGGTTGTAGTATCCCTAGAGTAGCGTATGGAAACAACCGCTTTTACGAAAATAAGCCACATTACTGTTTGCTAAGCATTGAAGTTTCAAAGCCATATATAAATTATTTTAGGACCATTATCATATACAGCTTTAGCTTCGATAGTAAGACTTCAGGACTTAAAAAGTAGTGGATAATCAATGCTTTTATATGTAAGAAAATACATATTCATTATTGGTAGTTATTTTATATAAATGCTAAATAATATAAACAATCAGGTAACATTAAATTATTATGATTATAATTATTATAAACTCGATGAGTTTGAAACTTCTTTGAATTTTAATAAAACCTAAGACATTGTTTAGGAAGAGATGATACAGTTACTAAAATTATCTTAAGAATAACTCTCTATCATGTTCAATATAGATTATTGAATGTAACGTATATAGAAGTAGATTTGAAGTACATACTTTCTTGACTTCTCAGATATAGAATTTATATGATTCCTCACATCATAAATTTATGACGTTTTAGCGAACTTGATATGTTAATATGTCCTTCCGTGTAAATTAACTCATTTAAAGAAAATGTAATAAATAAAAATGGAAATTATTTAATGTGTATATTACTCATCAAAAAGAAAAAAGAAAGTGAAAAACTACAACCATAAAAATGAATACATTTAAATTCAAAATAGCCCTCATTGTACAAGTAAACCTCATTCCGCTAAAATGTGTTGCATTCTTCACACCCTCAACATAAATTCCCTTTAATCTTTTCTGCTTTTATGAAATTCTTTATGCAAAAATATGGCCTTAATTCTTTTCTAAAAAGGCGCATATAAACCATGGTTAAGCCGAATCCCAGCGGAAAAATAAGCATAATTATTGTATAAAGCAAGCGTTTGAGCGTGTAAACATAAAAGTTTACTCCAACGTACAATTATGACCTGTTGAACCCGCATAAGGAAGTTTTGTGCTGAAACGCGGAACACAAAATTTTATTGTCCTTTTTTAGAACTTTTAAAGTTAAAATCATTTAAATTCACATTTTGTAAATTTTTTTAAAAAAAGCGTAGAGAAAATATGTAAAAAATTTGTAAAATATATACTTTTTATGGCTTTCTGAATTTTTGGTAAACAACTGTTACCACGTCTATGTTGGTCAAACCTTGATTGAAACATCTACAGAAATGTATTTTAGAGTTTTGATTTTGCAAACCTATTGCAGTATTAGAATAAATATAAATAAATTTATATTTACTTAAATAACAGTATATTTTAATTTTTTTTTTCAAAGTGTAAATAATATTTATTTACAAATGTATCAATATCATTTTTAATATATAAATATATTTTGTTTCATTTTTGAGCTATAATAATTATTCAATAAATTGAAATTTAAAAAGGATTAGACACTTTTAATACATTTAAATTTGTTATTGGTGTGTTCTTTATATATTAGCTATATTTTTTATTTTTTTAAATAGTATATAGTACGACAATTTTGTGGTAATATTATATAAAATATGTTGATAGTCTTCATAAGTTTACTTTTATATTTATGTAAATTTATTGAATATGTATTTTAATGACCTAATGTTAATAATGTTTAAGACTTGCAGCACAATGCCTTCATATTTATATTGGAATTCGGTCGACTCCGACTTGCAATTTCGGGATTTAATATAAAATCTTTAACAATAATTTCAATTCAATTCAATTTCTATGCACTGCGAAGGAATGTAACTAACTTTCAAGCGGAATGGATCTACCAAAACCATCGTATTGCAATACTGACTGACAGCCAAGCAGCTATAATGGCACTCATTTCTTACCAGGTAATATCCAGACTGGTACTAGAGTACATTGACAAGATCAACAATTTGACTGAAACAATTAGCCGGGACATGCTAAAGAAGTAGCAGCCAACCTCGCAAGAAGAAGTGCGACTTCAATAATGATAGGCCTAGAACATTTCTGCGGTCTACGCAAACTCTATCCCTTTTTATGAATGGCGCAGAGGAAAAGGAAATAGAACTACATTGGGAAGAACTACTAAGACTATTGCAATCTAAAATGCTTTAACGCACTTACGACCTAAAATGCTCCAAAGATTGCATAGAACGAACAAAGAATAACCTAAAAATTATTACCGGAATACTAACCGGTCAATGCAGATTGAATATTGAATGCTTAAGATATGTTGCAGAATATTTCGGACCACTATTCTTGAAGGTTGAATGTATTTTTGTTACGGAGACCATTTGGTGTTCTTAATTTAATTCTTGCCCACGAAGTGCCCAAATAAGCTGCGAATAATAATCGCAAATTTGAAATCACTGGATCTTCCAAAATATACTATTTTTTTCAACTCCGGAGACTTCGTTGCTATGGGATTAATTAAATAATTGAATTACTTAGATTTTTAGTATAACCGAATAATATGAACAGCACTTAGTACTTGTCAAAAATAATAATGTAAGGGTCATTTTTATATTATCAAAACCATCTTCAAGCGTTTTCATGAAATTTAAGAAAAAACTATTTATATCATACTTTTAAGATATTTATATTAAACAAATATTAGACAATTATCAATTATCAACGTTATTATCTGCTTAACAGTATTTAGCTTAACAGTGTTTAAAAGAAATTAATTTAAATCATCTTTTCTCCATTCACGGAGCAACACAATTGGTAAATTAATAAAGGGGCATGATCAATATCATGTCCTTTCTTGAAACTAAATTAGAAGAATAAAAGAAACACATCAAAATAAAGCAACTCAGGCTAGAAGCCACAAAATTGGAATAGCTTGGACGTAAACTAAAATTTTCCGTATATACATTATGCAATATTAACAGCTTCAAAATAAAATCAAGACCTTGTCCCTCAACTGTTGCTGAAGAAATTAAAACTCAAACGAAAGCTCACTCTAAGCAGCTTCAGATGCATATAAAGAAGAAGTAGCTGGTAGGCTACTCGATCCTATAGGCCTATTTCAACGACTTCATCGAAGAAAGTCACATGCTTTCATGGTCATTTAAATTAAAATGGAGAGTTCAGAAATCTCTTAGTAAAAGTTTGTGATGGCATCAAAGGGAAACTATAATTAGTCGCAGTGTTAACAAACATTGTAATTACACATTTTTTATAATGTTTGTAAAAAAAATATGATGATAAGGGTAATCATCAGTGCATTTAATTAAATGCTTTCTGTAATAGTTTTTTCTATGATCTAAATGTTTTTCTACAACTCATTTCAAGGTCTAAGTATTACTGTCAAATTAAGCGTTAAAATCACTAGTAGCTATAGAGATAACCTTTCGACGAACTAAATTCATTACAGTAACTAATTGGCTATAGAAAAAGTTTTTAGTTTTATTTTTTGGTGGTTAATTTATAATTATATGTGACCTATGCAATGATATACATATAAAATTTTATTGAAACTTATCAAGATGCAATCATTTCTGTTTTGTTATATAATATACTTACGAAGAGAATTTGAGAAGAATTTCAATATTGTCAATTTGTTTATTTCATAATAAGATATTTTAAGATTATCTTTACATCTTTACCACTTGAGGTGTTAATCAACATCCCATTCTATTCAATTAACATCCCACAATTTTCAATTAAATGTGAGTCTTAAAGCATTCATTTGCATCGCCTATTCTTACTGCTACTACTGACCCAAAAATTCTATAGAAATAAGTTAAAATGAAACTCAGAGAATTTTGAAGCGTTTTGTGCCTTCTTAACCAATGAGATTTATGCGATTTATTCACTGCTGTTAACAACAGCAGTACGCGCTGTTGACACCAAAACCACAATGACAATGCGGCAGTAAAGTATCTCAAATTGGGTTGGGTGTTATAATTACAAATATACACAAATATGTATAAATACTTTTACGTACATATGGGCACAGTATTTAGGAACAGATATTTTAAGTTGAGAAAGCATTTAGACTGACA